CTCTGTCTACCTGTATGTCCTTGTAGTGTGAGAAAGGCAGTAATGTATCTAGCGGCTGTTGGGTGTGTTGTGAGTAGAGCTGTAATGTGTATAGCAGCTATTGGTTGTGTTAGAAGCAAAGAAGTAATGCATCTAGCGGCTATTGGTTATGTCTAGCAGTTACATTTCCAGTAGGCTATTGGATGTGTTGTGAGTAAGGCGGCAAAGTATCTAGTGGCTTTTGGATGTGTTGTGAGTTGGGCAGTAATGCATACATATATCGGCTATTGGATGTCTTGTGAGTGAGGCAATTATGTATGTAGCGGCAATTGGAAATGTTGTGAGCAGGACAATAATGTAAATAGTATATGCTATTGGATACGTTGTGAGCAGGTCAATAATCTATATAGTATATGTTATCGGATGGGTTGTGGATAGGACAGTAATGTATCTAGCGGATGTGTTGTGAGTAGGGCAGTAATATATATAGTGGCTATTGGTTATGTTGAGATCAAGGCAGTTATATATCTAGTAGTCTAATGGATTTGTTGTGAGTAATGCAGTAATGTATCTAGAGGCTATTGGCTATGTTAAGATTAGGGCAGTTATATATCTAGTAGTCCAATGGATGTGTTGTGAATAATGCAGTAATGTATCTAGAGGCTATTGGTTATGTTAAGATTCGGGCAGTTATATATCTAGTAGGCTATTGGATGTGTTGTGATCAGAGCAGTAATGTGTATAGCAACTATTGGTTGTGTTAGAAGCAAAGAAGTAATGCATCTAGCGGCTATTGGTTATGTCTAGCAGTTACATTTCCAGTAGGCTATTGGATGTGTTGTGAGTAAGGCGGCAAAGTATCTAGTGGCTTTTGGATGTGTTGTGAGTTGGGCAGTAATGCATACATATATCGGCTATTGGATGTCTTGTGAGTGAGGCAATAATGTATGTAGCGGCAATTGGACATGTTGTGAGCAGGACAATAATGTGAAAAGTATATGCTATTGGATACGTTGTGAGCAGGTCAATAATCTATATAGTATATGTTATCGGATGGGTTGTGGATAGGACAGTAATGTATCTAGCGGATGTGTTGTGAGAAGGGCAGTAATATATCTAGTGGCTATTGGTTATGTTGAGATCAAGGCAGTTTTATATTTAGTAGTCTAATGGATGTGTTGTGAGTACTGCAGTAATGTATCTAGAGGCTATTGGCTATTTTAAGATTAGGGCAGTTATATATCTAGTAGTCTAATGGATGTGTTGTGAGTAATGCAGTAATGTATCTAGAGGCTATTGGTTATGTTGAGGTCAGGGTAGTTATATATCTAGTAGGCTATTGGATGTGTTGTGAGTCATGCAGTAATGTATCTAGAGGCTATTGGCTATGTTAAGATTAGGGCAGTTATATTTCTAGTAGTCTAATGGATGTGTTGTGAATAATGCAGTAATGTATCTAGAGGCTATTGGTTATGTTAAGATTAGGGCAGTTATATATCTAGTAGGCTATTGGATGTGTTGTGATCAGAGCAGTAATGTATATAGTATAAGCTATTGAATGTGTTGTGAGTAGGGCAATGATGTATCTAGCCGCTGATGGATGTGTTCTGATTTGGGCAGTAATCTATCTAGTGGCTATTGGATGTGTTGTGAGCAGGGCAGTAATGTATCTAGTGGCTATTGGTTATGTTAAGATTAGGGCAGTTATATATCTAGTAGGCTATTGGATGTGTTGTGAGCAGAGCAGTAATGTATATAGTATAAGCTATTGGATGTGTTGTGAGTAGGGCAATGATGTATCTAGCCGCTGATGGATGTGTTCTGATTTGGGCAGTAATCTGTCTAGTGGCTATTGGATGTGTTGTGAGCAGGGCAGTAATGTATCTAGTGGCTATTGGTTATGTTAAGATTAGGGCAGTTATATATCTAGTAGGCTATTGGATGTGTTGTGAATAATGCAGTAGTGTATATAGTATAAGCTATTGGATGTGTTGTGAGTAGGGCAATGATGTATCTGGCCGCTGATGGATGTGTTCTGATTTGGGCAGTAATGCATCTCGTGGCTATTGGATGTGTTGTGAGCAGGACAGTAATGCATCTAGTGGCTATTGGATGTGTTGTGAGCAGGAGAGTAATGTATCTAGTGGCTATTGGATGTGATGTGAGTAGCGCAGTAATGCATCTAGTGGCTATTGGATATGTTGTGAGTAGCGCAGTAATGCATCTAGTGGCTATTGGATGTGTTGTGAGTAGCGCAGTAATGCATCTGTTGGCTATTGGATGTGTTGTGAGTAGCGCAGTAATGCATCTAGTGGCTATTGGATGTGTTGTGAGTAGGGCAGTAATGCATCTAGTGGCTATTGGATGTGTTGTGAGTAGCGCAGTAATGCATCTAGTGGCTATTTAATGTGTTGTGAGTAGGGCAGTAATGCATCTAGTGGCTATTGAATGTGATGTGAGTAGCGCAGTAATGCATCTAGTGGCTATTGGATGTGTTGTGAGCAGGACAGTAATGTATCTAGTGGCTATTGGGTGTGTTGTGAGCAAGACAGTGATGTATCTAGCGGCTATAGGATGTGTTGTGAGCAGGAGAGTAATGTATCTAGCGGCTATTGGATGTGTTGTGAGCAGGACAGTAATGCATCTAGCGGCTATTGGATGTGTTGTGAGCAGGACAGTAATGCATCTAGTGGCTATTTGATGTGTTGTGAGCAGGACAGTAATGCATCTAGCGGCTATAGGATGTGTTGTCAGCAGGACAGTAATGTGTCTAGCGCCTATTGAATGTGTTGTGAGCAGGACAGTAATGCATCTAGCGGCTATTGGATGTGTTATGAGCAGGGCAGTAATGTATCTAGTGGCTATTGGATATGTTGTGAGCAGTGCAATAATGTATATGGTATTGCCCGTTGGATGTGTTGCGAGCATGACAGTAATATATCTAGTTGGCTATTGGTTGTGTTGTGAGCAGGTCTGCAATGTATGCAGCGGCTATTGGATGTGAAGTGAGCATGGCAGTATTATATCTGTTTGCCTATTGGATGTGATGTGAGCATGTTAGTAATGTATCTATCGGCTATTGGATGTGTTGTGAGCACGACAGTAATGTATCTAGCGGCTATTGGATGTGTTGTGAGCAGGGCAGTGATAGATGAATGATGTACACTTGTCAATAACAGATGGAGGCTGAGGTTTTTGTTTGCATAAAATTTTGATCTGTGTTTCTAAAAATACAACCCCCGGGCACCCCTCTAGAAATCAAATAAATGACTGAGTGAGTTGTGTCAACGCCGCTTTGAACAGGATTCCAGTTATATCACGGCGTGTCAGCTTACTGTGGAAGGGAAGTCCGAAGTGGTGCAGGTCTAGGAAATTTACCGAGACTGTGAAGCCAACGATCACGTATATGGGTATGGTGCTGACAGACCTAGAATAAAACCGGAGATTCGCAACCACAACCATAGGTTTCTCGCTTCCCCAAGGGACGCAACTCTGCACAGCCACCTGTGCTCCCTGTACGGAATATATCCGTGTGTCCATATATATAAACACTAAGGTGAGGTGAGGTGAAATTGGGTTTAACGTCGCGTCCAAGATTATTGCACTTATATAGCGACGTGCATGCACGTGTATGTGTGTGTGTGGCTGCTTGTACTAGTCGGGACTGATGCCGATTTATAGTGCTAGCTCACTGAGATACCATGCCGCAGTTTAACATGAATACCCCACTCAGACACAGTATACAGACTCCGAGCCGACCAGTCCTTGTTTTAGCCCCTTAATGCCGAACGCCAGACAGGGTAACAACAAGTACAATCTTTTAACGTCTTTTTGTATGACGCGGCCCGGGATCGAACCCCGGACCTTCCGCTCTCCGGGCGGACGCTCTACCACAAGACCACGGAGGCGGTCATAAACACTAAGACATTAACATACCTTAATGACTGGTGTAGGCATTCTGATGTGTCTTTTTTACCACAAACAACAATATTTAACACCATATCATTGTCCGTACTTGTACGTGTATACATAGTGTATGGCGATCAACACGGGGATCATCGAGAAGCTCAGCGGAGATACATGGACGTCCCCCAGTCAGCAACATTTCAGTGATATCAGCCTGTATACAAACAGTCGAATATGGGACATGCAGACCACAGGCTGGCAGCAATAACACCGGCCCACATGTGTCGTGGGCTCTATTAACAACAATCCTTGCACTCCACTTTCGCGATCGGCAGCGAAGACATACAGTCAGTGTTATACGTTGTAACACTCAGTCACCACTATAACAGAGTGTATAACAGACAATCCAGTGATGGACATCATGAGCATCGATCCACGCAATTGGAATACGATTGGGATACGATGATACGATCAACCAAGTCAGTGAGCCTCCAGTGACTCCAGACTCGAGTATTTACGGACCGCCGTTATATGGCTGGGATGTTTCTGAGTGCGGGGTAATACAACAAACAAACTCACCAATGGGATATTAAAACGCGTATATCACTGACAGGTTTATTCAATATACATGAAATATGACTTTCACATTATTGATAGTGGTTATCCTATCAGTCTACAAATTGGTAAAGTTTGTAGGCATCAGTAAATGTAAGAAAAGATCAGATGAGATATATTATATGGTAGTGTCAGATATTGTACATAATATAAATATAACATTTAATTCAAACAATAAAACTCTACAAAATCCAGTCTGGTAAAGCTTAGGATACATTTCTTGAAACATGAATAAAACATATAGATTATATTAAAACCCACCTAAGCTTGAAATGTAGCTGCATATTAAAATACACACATTTTCTGCAGTCATTAAATACATACTAAATGTTGACAGAGTACTTAGGTGGATGCCTTAAACACCGCTTTTAACAGTATTCCAGTTATATCACGGCGTGTCAGCTTAATGTGGGAGGAAAGCCCGAAGTGATGCAGGCCTCAGACGTTTACCACTTCAGTGAAACCCACGAGCACGGGTATGGTGCTGACAAACCTAGAAACATAATTGGGGCGAACCAGGATTCGAACCCACAATCATAGGTTTCTGGCGTGCCCAAGGGGCTAAACTCTGCACAGCGAATCTCGGCGCCTTAGACGACTGGGCCACCCGTGCCCCCTGCTGGATAATGAAAGTGAACTTGTAGCTATATGAGTAAGTGCATTATTCAGGGTTCGATTCCTTTACCTTAGAGAACGTATGTTGTACCCTGTGGCGCCGAGATTTGATTGCGTAATTGCGTCCCTTAGACGTGATAGGCACCTACAGTTGTGGGTTTGAATCCCAGGCTGGCCCTGATTAATTTTCTAGGTTTGTCAGCACCGTTTTCGAGCTTGTGGGTTTCTCCAAAGTTGTAAACGTCTACGACCTGCATTAATCTTGTCTTGTCCCAACATTTTACCGAAAATAGCCACTACAACTAATCTTATAATTCCTTATGTGCTTGTCATGCGTATGCGGAAACAAACGTTCGCTCGTCCTGCCGATGTCCCAGGTTCGGTTGGTCAATGTGCCCCCTTTGTGGTAAGGGTATTGCCCGAATACTGCTAAAAGCGGCGCATTATCATATACACTCATTCACTGTAATCTATGTTCAAATGTGGTTGGCGTTTGAGGCATTTTATACAAAACGAACTGTTCATTTTGGGCACATTTCTGAATTTTCATCATAAAAAGTTCCCCGCGACGTGATCCGAGTATGTTTTGCTTCCTGGCGTCTCATTGGGGAATACTGCAGTTGAATACCTTCACAGCATCTTCATAACATTCCGCCACATACAGTTTACAGTCACAGAACATCAAGCCGTATGGATCCTGTAGTCCATCATGTGACGTCAGCAGGTCTCTGACAAACTCCCCTGCTGGTGTCAGTAATACCACCTCGTGTGCCCAGCAGTCCGCCACCAGGATGTGTCCTGTGCTGGTAGTTGTGATACCTTGTGGTTCGCTCAGTCTCCTCTCTCCTGTAGGGGTGTAGGTGAACACAACATCTCCCTCTGGTGTGATACAGTAGACAGAGTGTGAGCCAGCATCTGACACCAGGATGTTGCCCCTGTCCGTAGCACAGAGGAAGCTGGGGTAACGCATTAGGTTCTTCCCAGTGTTGAATGTACTGACTGACGTCATCACTCTCCCCGATACATCCAGGATATCAACACAGGGAGGATCCCCACAACCTGCTGCTAATGTTGTAGGACTCAAGGCTGTCAGACCAATGTACTTCTTCTTTGTTGTGACACGATGCTGTAGCACCAGGTCAGGGGTCACCCATACTATTACAATCTCATTGTGTGACCAGAATGATACAGCCACCTTGTTGTCCCCCAGCCTCGTCACAGAGGTTGGTTTACTTGCAAGATCCAGTTTACTGTGTCGTGATATGTTTTTCTTTGTGTAGAAGGATTTCAAACATGTATTGTTGCGGTCAGTGACCACCAGTGTGTCCTCACCATCCACAACCAGGACTGTGATGTCATATGGATACGGCTGCTCCCTGTCGCCATCGACCCTAATGCCGACTGTCTTGTGTAACACTGGCCTGCACATGACGTCAGATGTGCCACTCTGTATCTTACGAAGTTCCGTATCCACAAAGATTTCGTTGTGTTCCGTGCACCTCTGTCGTCTAGTGACCTTTACAGCTCCACCAAGGTCAGCAATTACGTGGTTTGACGTACCAGGAAGAGATGCATGCATCTTCACACATCTCTCACAGAGCGGCACATCACAGTCTTGACAGTAGGCGTTGGCCGGATGACTGTCTCCAAGATCCTGGCAGGGATGGCAGCGGTTTTCTGTATCTGAACAAGTCAAGGATAAACCTGTCACATCATCAAACGTGCAAACACAATAATGAGATAAAGTTTGTTAAAAGATATATGATGAGGGTGAATCAAGTTTAAATGTGAATTCTGATCAGTGCGGTTCAACGTGTCCGGAAAGTTTCTTTACCCTGGGATAATCAACATGCATAGATGTCGAAACTGAAATGATAAAGGTTTGTTCTAGATAATCCTGATAAATATAGGTGACCCTTCAGTTTCGTCTTGATTACTTTTATCAACAACAAACAGTTTTCCATCACCATTTTGATGACGCATGAACGTACATAGACTGAACCAGGCTTGGTATTATCTCGGTCATGCAGGAAAGCAAACCTGCTGTATGGCAGCGTCACAGTCCATCTCCTTTAAGATATTCCCCTTTTTGATGTTCTTGGTTTCAGTGGAAACTGAATCAGCGACAGTGTAATTTAAAATAGACGTACATGTATAACATCGCTTTCAAGTTTATTGCACTAATGTAGCGAGGTGCGTGCGGACTTGTGCGTGTCGTTCCTTTACGGATAAAGGAGGGTTTTATAGTAGCAGCTCACTGAGACAGTGGAGTGTAACATGGATACCCCACGCACACACAGTTTACTGACTTTAAAGTCTACCAGTCCCTCTTTTATCCTTTTAATGTCGAGCGCCTGGCAGAGTGACAACTAATACCGTCTTTTGGTGAGATGCGGCCAGGGATCTTACGCCCTTGGGAAGAATATTGTCATCTTTCGGTTTCTTCTAGATCACATTTACTTACCATGATCAGTATTTCCCCCACAGGCTAGAGTGTCCAGAAGTCCCTGTATGAGGAAACTGGGCTTGATCTGTTTCACCCACTCCTCCACTGGTCTGTCAGGCTGGGGAGCTCGCGTCATCTGACGACAGTAGGGACACGGGATGGACTTGGCTCTGATGGCGTCTTGTCTGGTCTTCAGGAATTTCCCCAGGCAGTCCTTACAGAAGGTGTGGCCACAGGTCAGAGTACAGGGGTCTTTGTATCCCTCCGTACATATGGAACAGGTCAAGAAGTTCTCATTCAGACTCTCCAGCTTTCTGGCAGCTGCCATCTGAAACAAAGGAATAACTGTTTAATATCATTCATATATTTTAGGGACTGGTGATTGAATGTTAATACATTTTTATTGTATGATGTGCAGGTTTGGAAATATTGAATATCTGATAGCAATGACAATATAAGTTATCATTGACAGTAGTGACCAATCATAATGCATGTAAAATGGATTTGAATATTTAACACTGAACAAGTGACTTGAGCATGTTGAAAGCAAGGCGGGTCCCTCTGTACTGTCCGTGTTACGTAAATGAGTTGGTGCGTTGTGCTTGACGCTCCTTTGTACAGTCTTTCACTTAACTGTTTGTTTGGGGTTCTAGATATGTGTGATGGAGTGAGTATGTTTTTACGCCGCTTTTAGCGATATTCCAGCAATATCACGGCAGGGGACACCAGTAATGGGCTTCACACATTGTACCCATGTAGGGTCTAAGGCGTGACGAGCAAACACTTTAACCACTAGGCTACCCGACCGCCAGCAGCAGTTGGTGAGTAAAGAAGAAAACATACAAGTTTATTTATAACAACTTCTGCATTTAGCGACATTCGATGTAGATTCTTACACTGTCATCAAGATCGAGTGTACAGTATTGCAGTTACATCTGGGCGTGTCAGCTTAATGTGATAGAAAAGCCCGAAGTGACGCATGTCCAAGACGTTCACCACTTTGGTGAAATCCACGAGAGCTCTCATCAGTGTCACTGCTAATTTCAGCAACAAATATCGATCCACTGATTTCGCTGATATTAATTCTAACCTTTCACTATCAGTTTCTAAAACGTATCAGCTCTACCCTCTTCATTTCACTTTTTAATTAGTGGTTTTGTATTCTTTCATCGGACAAAAACAAATATATACATCATCGAATTGAGCTAATTAACAGATTAATAGTCGATTGCAAAATTGGTTGAAATTGAAGAGAAAATTTTAATGGACTCTATTAATATATATTAATATTAATAATCGTTCACTTATGTTTCACACACATTATATGAATATTGTTTTATATTGTTGAATATTCCAGCGAATATATGATGGCGGGGGAAACCAGAAATGGGCTTCACACATTGTACCCATATCGGGAATCGAAACCAGGTCTTTGGCGTGACGAGCGAACGCTTTAACCACAAGGCTTCCTGACCGCCCCAGGTTTCAGTGTAGTCAATATATGCGAGCTTGTGTAGCTGAGTCTGTAAACGGCGCTTAAAGATCTGGAAAGTTGGGAAAACCTTTTGTCCGAGTGGGAGACTGTTCTACTCACTTGCAGTGGAAAGATAACAGCACGGATGCTGGTTTGGGTCTGATAGATACTGTCAGTTTTAAGTGACTGGTTCAATATTAGGCATAAATGTGAGGCAGACATTTTGGAAGCACCCCACACTACATCCCATGTTGCTTCAGTGTAAATGTCTATCAAATACAGAGAAAGTCTGACAGGAACTAATTTTAAAATGTGAAGTGCACTATATGATACTATAAAAATACATCAGAAAATATTTTCCTCTGGCTGTAGAAACACTCGTCTCTAGGTTTGAATGATTGTATCATGTTACAGAATTCACTCCAGCATGTTGGTCTCATGACATTAGTCTAGCGGCATATTAGTCAAATATTATGACAAACAGCATGAATTGTTGACAGAATCAATAGTAAAAGCTATGTATTTCAACATCCCCAGAGACTTACACGTGTGCTAAATACTCTTCAAAGTTTCACAACGGACAAGGCTCGAAAAGTACATGCTGCTCTACTTTCTGTTTTTAAGTCACAAGGGAGATAAAATAAATATAATCTGAAAGAAAACCTCTTTCAAAACTGTTGTTGCCACACTAGAATGGTTCAAGTCTATACATGTACCGGTTTTACAAGTAAAACTTATATTTTCAATAACATTTCATGTTTGCTATTTTTACTTTTTTCGTCAATAAAAACTGAAAATAAAATTACATTAAATAATGGTCAAATTAATATTTATTTTGTTTGAAAGAAAAGAGAACTGAAACTGTTGCCAAAACCATAAAACTCTATATAATTGTGATATAATTGCGTCCCACGTCTTTTGTTGTATCCTACTTTCTTTACCATCACTCAACGACCCACCCACCTTATAATAAATGTCCAGTCCCTTCATCATTCCGGTTCCATCAGGGTGGCCGGAGCATCGTCCACGGAATAAACAAACAAGTGGTGATCGTAGACAACTGAGTCACTGTCAATGTTTGATTATCCATCCGGGTACTAACCAAGTATTCCTGTGGGTGTCGGGCAACAAACATCTTTTCATGAAAATTGTGTGATTGGCGGTTGTTTCCGCTGGGGCAAGACATGCTTACCCGATTCGCGAACACCTGGTGTCATCACTGATTTTCAGTGATTCTGTCACATGATTTTCACTTCTATTTACATTTTACGCCGAATGGAATCTGTTTAGTCGGGTAATCGAGACGGGTGACGTGCAAGGTATTCTTACAATCTAAACCGAAAGTAACTCCATTTCGACCTGGGTTAGAGTAGATTCCTAGCACTCGATGTGACTAAACTGACCAGTTTCACACAGTGGGAGATTATTTCTGAGAAACAATGGACCTCTACAGTTTGAGAAACGATTGTATGTTCCAGCAGAATGCTACATATCTCTGTCTACCTGTATGTCCTTGTAGTGTAACATTCCAACTTACCTTGTGTCCCGACACCCGTCTCTCCACCCGCCACAGTGTGATGTAGTGACGTAATGAGGACTGGGACAGGTTTGCTGATAAGCACGGGAACAAGTCGAAATAAATTATATCAGGTTCACGACATGCTCCTTGGTCATGTGACAGTTAGTTGTGGTCGAGGTCATATCGTCCTGAGACCACCCTAGTGTTGGAATGAGTGTTCCGCGGACCTGACCAGCTAATCAGATACCCTGTCCCCATTTTAAGCTTCTCATAGCAACGTTTAGGAAATGTCATCTATAGATCTTAAAGAAATATTTGGAGAAAACCGCATCATGTAAGTCTAACCTACAGATGTACCCACACATGGGTATTTGATTACGCCATCGAGACATTAGAGATCCTGGTTGTCAGAGGCCAGACACTGACGTTGATGTGATCAACCAATACGATAAACGTGGTATCACGATCCGATAAATATGTAAATGAGTTCACCTAGCAGGAAGTACTTTTAATAGGCTCAATGAGATCCCAGCAAACAATTCTATGTTGTTACAACGTTGTATTTTCGTTGCTTCAGCATTGTGAGGTTACGTTGTCACAAAGTATATCTGTAGACTCCCAGATTGGTTGCTACAACGTTGTGAGGTTACGTTGTCACAAAGTATATCTGCAGACTACCAGATTGGTTGCTACAACGTTGTGAGGTTAAGTTGTCAAAACGTATATCTGCAGACTCCCAGATTGGTTGCTACAACGTTGTGAGGTTACGGTGTCACAAAGAATATCTGCAGACTCCCAGACTGATTGCTACAACATTGTGAGGTTATGTTGTCACAACGTATATCTGTAGACTCCATAGCCATATTGGTTTCTACAACGTTATGAGGTTATGTTGTCACAAGGTGTAACTGTAGACTCCATAGCCAGATTGGTTGCTACGTTGTGAGGTTACGTTGTCACAACGTATATCTATTGACTCCATGGCCAGATTGCTTGTTACAACATTGTGAGGTTACGTTGTCACAACGTAAATCTGTAGACTCCAAGCCCAGATTGGTTGGTACAACGTTGTGAGGTTACGTTGTCACAACGTATAACTGTAGACTCCGAGGCCAGATTGGTTGCTACAACATTGTGAGGTTATGTTGTCACAACGTATATCTGTAGACTCCATAGCCAGACTGATTGCTACAACATTGTGAGGTTGCGTTGTCACAACGTATATCTGTAGACTCCATGGCCAGATTGGTTGCTATAACGTTGTGGGGCAAAGTTGTAACAACAAATATCTATAGACTGCCAGATTGGTTGCTACAACGTTGTGAGGTTATGTTGTCACAACGTTTATCTGTAGACACAATAGCCAGACCGATTGCTACAACATTGTGAGGTTATGTTGTCACAACGTATATCTGTGGACTCCATGGCCAGATTGGTTGCTATAACGTTGAGGCAACGTTGTCACAACGTATATCTATAGACGTCCAGATTTGTTGCTACAACATTGTGAGGTTATGTTGTCACAACGTATATCTATATCTATATCTTTTTCTTACGTTGTTAAGACGTTTAATCAAAATATTGTGACGACGTATGTTTCTTCGCATACAATACAACCAAGGTAGGAAGTCAATGTCATGTCAAATCACTATGACAACATATATATCTGGTGTTGTGGCTGAAGAAAACAAACTAATCATGATACAAAATCCCAGCCCCTCCTATTCCCCAGAATATCAAATGGTCGGTCTCTGAAACTAACCTGGCACGTCCACACATATTCGTCACCAAGTCCAGATTTTCCTGGTGTGACATCAACGACATTTGAAACTAAAGTGGTTTGTACCCATTGGAGGTGTTTCGGTAATACACAAGTGGTCCAATATATGTTGTCAGTTTGCCTTAACAATGTCTAGATCATGTATAGGTTACTTTTACACCACGCTAATTCCAAAAATTTTAATAAATGAACAACGTGAAATTTTCCTGCATCATCCTCCATTAGTAAAATGTTTCGAAATAGGGTTTTCTACATGCATGTAAAATGAAAACAATAAGGAATCTAAATTCATAAATTTAATTCATTGTATTTTATGTGGATTTTATGTGGAGTGCTAAATTTAGTCTTCATTTGTTCCTGTAGAAGATATCTCACAAAAGACTCGGCGCAATGTTCCCACTATGTAAGAGGCAGTCGTTTTGCGATGTTTGAAAGGTGGAAACAGTTCCAAAGGCAGGAATGATATAAACATTTAACATGTCAATGCAAGGTCGTGGTGGCAGTTTCAAATTTTTTTAACTGTTCGTACATCTTGTTACTTGTGGGTCATTTTTTGTAGCAGCTATAGTAGTCCGTGGAGCAGGGAGCAGGGTCAACAGATATAGGTTCAGAAATTCTAGGGTTTACAGCCCAGTGGGGAAATGGGTGACGCCATGCCTGCACACACATGGAAGACCCAAGCTGGAAGCGATTAATATGAGATAGTTTTATACACATGTGATTATCGTCTCTATGCAAGTGTTGGAAGTTATTTTATAACCTTATTAATTGCAAACGGATTTTAAACCACACCGTTTTAATTAAAATATGCAATTATATTGTCCAATAATGTAGTTATGTTACTGAGAACAACAAGATAGTGCTGATACAACACTTTGTCATTTAACCCGACATTTTGTTTCATGACATGAGAATGAAAACAATTTATCCATCAAAAACAAATACATAAAGTAAGCAAAATCAAGAGATCTACAGCAGCTTTCACGCAGACGTTTTGGCAATATAGTTTCAATCACATGATAAAATTGTAAAGTAGTTTTTATTCACCACATAATCTATGCTGTGTCGATCGCGAGTACTCTCCTGAGAGTATTCCCTTTCGACTAGCAACGGTTTCTCTCACGCCCGCGCCAAAAATGCGCCAACAAATGTTTGACTGTAGCTGCGTGTGACACTATCTATAAAGCTAAAGTTGTAAACTAATGAAGATCGTTTAGTTTGCTTATTTATTTGATGTTTATCACAGCAATCATCAATATTACAGCTGTATGACGGTAGTCTGTAATCGAGTCTGGAACAGACCATCCAGTGATTGACACCTTGAGCATCGATCCTCGCATTTGGGATACGATGACATGCATCAAAAAGTTAGAGAGCCTGACCACCCGATCCCGTTAGTCGTCTCCTACGACAAACATAGTCGCCTTTTACTATTGAAGGTGTTTTGAAAAGATTAATAAGGCCTCAATTCACAGTTCATTGGCCAAGCAGGGCAAAAAGATCGGACTTGACTTATGTTGCATTTGTGAAATTTGGGGTGATGTCACCTGATGAGTATACCCACAGGAAGAAAGAAAATACATTAAACGTTTAACAAATGCCTACATCCTTTAAAATCAAGGATGTTATCTTTCAATCTTCCATAATACGTCTTTCTCCCAATATTTCTCAGATTTATAGATGGCAACTTCCGATTGAAAATAATAATATTATTATGTCTACTTAGATACATCACACAAACATCAGTATGTTTATAGGTACTTCAACCAAATGAACATAGTGCAGAATTCGCATGAAAGTCAAAAGTGTATGTCATGTATATTGTAGGAAGGCCACCGGCCCATACACAATGCATAGAAACAGATGATACTTCAGTTCACACACATTTCGTTGCACTTCATGTAAGCATACCTCTCTCTGACTCTCTCTGTCTGTCTGTCTGTCTGTCTGTCTGTCTGTCTCTCTCTCTCTCTCTCTCTCTCTCTCTCTCTCTCTCTCTCTCTCTCTCTCTCTCTCTCTCTCAAAGAGCCATACAAAATAGACATGCATTACTGTAAGTTAATATAATAAAAAGTAAAAGTAAATTTTAAAAATATTGGCCAAATGTAACTAAGCTTTATTATCACCCAGTGCTAAATCGGAAAGGTTGCACTGAAAAGTTACGTCTGTCCGTCTGTCTGTCTATCTGTCTGTTTGTCTGAATTGATATCCTACTTGTTTCAGTGTTATCTTCAAGGGGAAGTGTTCACGAGTATGCAAGACATTTGGCATACTTTGGACGCAGGGGAGGTTAGGCCAATGAATAAAACCGACAAAACCCTTTCCATATCCATAAGAAATATCTTCTAAAAGCAGAGTCGATTGTATCATGAGCATGTGTTTCTGGATCTCTGTCAAATAGTGATAATACCAGGTGGTCGCGAAAAGGTGAGCGTATACCTCCCCACCGGTGGCACCCGTCACAAACACATGCAAATGCAAGTCAATTCTTCACCTGAAAAAAACATGGAATATATGGTACATGTCAAAATAACAAGTCATTTGGAAATGTCCTCCACATGTCTACCATAAAACTCAAAGGGTGACGCTCTTTGAAATCTTCTTAGTAAGAGCATGCTCCATTGTATCTAGAAAGTTGTGAAATATATAAACTTTGACAATTTTGGGGGAACGGTTTCCCGGAGGTTTCTGGGAGGTATCCGGAAGTTTCTTGGTTTCAGTTGAAACTGAATCGGGAAGTTGAACTTTAAAACAGAGGTTTAACATCGCTATCAAGATAATTGCACTTATATAGCGACGTGCGCGCGTTCAGGATTGTGTGTGCCGCTCCGTGTACCAGTCCGGATTAATGCCGGTTTTATAGTACCAGCTCACTGAGATAAAAGAGTTCAGCATAGACACCGAATCCAAGTTTCGTTGAAAACTTAACACTTTGAGACTTTGTATATAAACTGCAAGGTTGCAATAATTTGCAGAAACACAGAGCTGCAATTTGTGGACATGTTTAGCGAGTAAACAAATATTAAACATAAGACAATGAATAAACGAGTATTAGTTAGTTTACACAGCAACATTCTTGTATTATCACGACGAGTTTGTTTCTTGTTAACACTACGTTCAGCAATATTCTTCCTTTTATTTGGCGGCGGAGTCGGCGGACTGTAAATAATCAGAAGGCCACGCAATCCAGTTAGTGATATTATGAGCAACTAACCACGCCGTCGAGTTTCGATTATACACAATCAACCAAGTAACCGGGTCTTACCACCCGATTCATGACGTCGCTGACCCGTGAAGATCCGGGGTAGAATAGGTCTTCAGGAACCCATGCTTGCCGTCAAAGCTAACTATGCTTGTCGTAAGGGGCAAATAACGGGA